GTTTCATGAAAGGTAACATCCATGGTGATAAAGATGCGATGACTTTGAGGATGGTAACATTTGTACCCAAGGATACCCAATAAAGACACATTTAAGAGCTCTTGGATCTAATTTACCACAGTTAGGATGATGAGAGTGAACAAGAACAACACATCCAAAGACTCGACTAGGTAGACTCGTTATTAGGGGAGAAGAAGGAACAAAGGACGATAGAGACTCTATAGGACTAATGCCATTTAAGATACGAGTGAGTAACTTGTGGATGAGATATGTGGCAGTTAACACAACTTTTCCCCAGTAATTTTTTGGAACAGATATTTGAAAAAGAAGAGCTCTAGTTACTTAAAGAAGATGACGATTCTTTCTTTCTGCAACCCCATTTTGTTGAGGGGTGTTAACACAGGTTAGTTATTCATGATTCACATATTCAGTACCATTATCAAACCTGATTCTCTTGATATTTTTTCCAAATTGATTTTTGACAAGATGGAAAAAATTAACAAATATTTGAAAAACTTCGGATTTATTTTTTAAAGGTATGTCCACGTGACACGAGTACAATCGTCAATAAAGGTAACGAACCATTTGGCTCAAGAAATAGAATCTATGACAGGACCCCAAACATCAGAGTGAATTAAATCAAATGGAGAAATACTCTTTTTATTACTAATAGGATAAGATGCACAATGGTGTTTTGAAAATAGACAAATATCACAATTAAAAGACTCAACAGACTCTTTGGTAAACAAATGGGGAAACAAAGACTTGATAAGACTAAATGAAGGATGCCGAAGCCTTTGATGATGTAACCATATTTGGGAATTTGCCCACGTCTTAGATGTAGCTTGTTGACTCATGATTTTTGTGTTGCTTTGGTCATCAAACTCTAAAAAATACAACCCACTATGCTCCTTAGCAGTTAAAATCGTCTTCCCCATGGCAAGGACATGAAAAACACAATAAATTGGAAAAAATGTTAATGAACAATTTAAATCATTTGTGAGTTTTTGCAAAAAGATAAGACTATTAGCTAATTGAGGAACATGTAAAACATCCTTTAATACAATAGATGAGTCCAGAATTATATTCCCAAAGCCGCATATAAGTATACCCTGACCATTCGCAACTGTAATAAGTTGTTCTTTATTTTACCATGAGTCGAAGGACACACTAAAAGGTGTCATATGATCAGTTGCACCCGAATCAAGGATCCAAATACCTTGAGACACATGACCAACAATATTCAGACAAATCTTACCTTTTATGGACTGAGTACATGATCCAGAGGACTTACTCATTGGTAGGTCATTAGGACCCAAAGGAATAATTTTTACTTCAGACATCCTGTAGAACGCAATCAGGAGTCTCCGATGACCTTTTCCTAGACGACGATGACGGCGTGTGGGTCACACCGAGAAAATGAGCAGAACTTAAAACTCAGATCTACTCAAATATAGGCCAAACGGGTCGTCACCGACTCCAAGAACAGACTCAGGAAGCTTCAACGACTCTGTCTGCGGCGGCGCGGTGAGTGGGTGTGTGGACTACACGCGCCGACGACAGTGGCGGCACGTGGCAGCTTCTCTCCCGGAGCGTCTTCTGGCGTTGTGGTCGCCAGTGTTGGGCGCACCTTTCTGCCCTATCAACGACCTCAACCGGCAACGGTGGTGGTCGAACAGCAGCGGCGGCGCAACTGTGCAGCGGAACGAAGCCCCAAGATCAGGAGCTCTGACACCAAGTAGAAAATAGAACTGATTTTATTATTCTGAATTATTAAAAAATACATTCTCATATCCTCTATTTGTAACAATCTAATTCTCCTAAAAAGGGAAATAAGGAAACTAGGGAAACAAAATAAAAGATTATACATCTATTTTCTCTAATTATTAAGAAGATTCTAAAGATATCTTCTCTAATTACAACAGTTCATGAGGCACTTGGTCATCCTATATGGCAACAAGCCATTAATGATAAAATATAGGCACTTGAACACAATAGTACTTGGGAACTTGTCCCTCTTCCTCTTGATAAGAAGCTTGTGGGTTTTCGATGGGTCTATGCTATTAAGGTTGGTCCTATTGGTGAGGTGGATCGTCTCAAAGCTTGTCTAGCTAAGGAATATACTCAGGTTTATGGCCTTGACTATTGTGATGCTTTTTCTCTTGTGGCTAAAACCTATATTGTTTGTCTTTTCCTTGCTATGGCTGCCATTTGCAAATGGCCTTTTTACTTATTGGACATTAAAAATGTCTTTCTTCACGATGATCTAGAAGAGGAGATATTCATCGAGCAACCTCCTGGGTTTGTTGCACAGGGGGAGTCTAAGTTAGTTTGTAAACTACATCGTTCACTCTATGGCTTGAGCAATCACCTCGAGCTTGGTTTGGTAAATTTAGTCGTGTTGTACAAAATTTTGGATTGAAACGATGTGAGACAGATCGTTCAATGTTTTATGGTCATACTTCTCCTGTGTTTATGTTATGGTTTATGTTGATATTGTTATTACAGAAAATGATGTCAATGGAATTGCTTAATTAAAGAACCCTTTTTTCAGCCACTTTTAGACCAAAGATCTGGGTCTTCAAAAATATTTTCTTGGTATTGAAGTGGCACAATCAAAAGAAGGTGTCATCATTTCACAAAGAAAATATGCTCTTGATATTTTGGAGGAAATAGATATGACAAATTGCAAGCCCATTGATATTCCTATGGACTTCAATCAAAAGTTAACGAAAGACCTAGGTGAATTTTTTTCAGACCTTGAGAAACACAAAAGGTTGGTTGGAAAACTCATTTATCTTACTATAACAAGACATGATCTTTCTTATCCATTGGGAATTGTGAGTCAATTTATGCAAAATCCCCACATTGATCATTGGAATGTTGTGATTTGCATTCTCAGTAAAAGGGAACTTGGACAAGGATTATTGTATGAGAACAAGGGAAATACTTAAATCGAAGGGGATTGTGGTGTAGATTGAGCTGGTTGTCCAATTGACAAGATCTATCACAAGATATTCTGTATTCCTTGGAGAGAACCTTGTATCTTGGAAAATTAAGAAAAAAAGTGCCATTGCTCGATCTAGTACAGAAGTTGAATATAGAGCTATGACTCTAGCTACATGTGAACTTGTGTGGATTAAACAACTCCTTCAAGAGTTGAAATTTTGTGAAAATGAGCAAATGAAGTTGTATTGTGACAACCAGACAGCTCTTCATATTGCCTCTAATCCAATGTTTCATAAGAGAACAAAATATAGTCGATTGTCATTTTGTTAGAGAGAAGCTACTGTCCGAGGATCTTATTATTGAGCTTGTCAACTCTAAGGAACAACTTGCATACATTCTGACTAAATCTCTAAAGGGGTCTCGAATTCAATTTATATGTTCCAAGCGTGGTGCATATGATCTAGCTTGAGGGGAGTGTTGAAATGTAATATTTTATTTTGTTTTATTATTCATGTATGGGAACCCAACTTAGGGTTAGGGTTTAAGGCAAGCGCCTTGCCTCCTTGTATTCTGCCCTTTGTATTCTATAAATACAGTAGTAAAACTATAACAGTGTAAGAAATATACACTGTTTTACTTCATTACATTTATTCAAGTTATAGAAAGGAGAATAGAGGGTTTTTTAAACTGAACTCAAGCTAGGGCAAATCAAAATTCTGAAGAAGCTACAATTGTACGAAAATAACAGTAACAATTCTTATATAGACCAAGCCAACTAGGTAACCAAACAACTTACATTTCTAGAATTTTTAAGATATTTAATAAAGGTGAGAACGATGAAACACTAAAATTCCAGTTAATAATAATTTTGCTGCTGATTAGATATACTTCTCCTGTAATCTTTATCCTTAAATATCACTTCTTCAAGTATTCTTATCCTGGTCACCATCACTTTGTATTTCCAATCCATCTTTCCTATAAATTCTTCTTATGTTTGTCAATTAATCTCTCCTATATGAAAATGTTTACTAATCATGTACATATTAACTTAATTATCAATTAATGGGATTAGGGGCAGATATGACAGTTATTGACAGAAAATAGGAGTGGTTACTTAATATCAATTGTGTATACTGTTTAAGTGGGTTCAGTTATGTAGTTCCGGAGCAGTTATTTTGTATAAGGTCTGATGATAGACAGCTATTTAGTTTTTTTTTTTTTGGAACAGTTATGTAAAGTTCGTATAGAAAATAAAAGTGGGCAGACGAGCGTATTTTGAAGTTCTTTGAACAGAGTATTCTCTGTGAGAGTTGTTACAACTATGAGAGAGTTTCAGCTGAAATTTTCTATTTAATAGTGTGCCTAAATAGCAAAAAATGCCAAGAGGACTTGGTGGTTGCTGGAAAGAAAAAGTGACCATAGAGGACCCTCCTTTGCTTAGTTAAAACATATGAAGAGTACTTGTAAAAGACATCAAAAAGAGGTTTTAAATATGAAATATGTCTTTTAGAACAATTAAGTTTCCATATTTTATGCTCGCTAAGTTTAAACACGTGTCAGCTTTCTAAATGTTGATTTAGGATTTAATTTCCTATATCAAATTCAAAGTATTAGGCATTATCTTATGCATGGAATTTGCAAAATTATTGTGCTTGGCATCAAACGAAGTATTGGTTAGAGTAACACACTTTTACGCTCACTAAAGGATCATGGAATGAATAGGTTGAGGCAACCACTTGTAGATAAATAATTTTGTTGCCTAAATTTTATGCATATAAAAATTAGATAACAAAAGTGTTTATAAAAGATTTTTATGAATATAAATCTCATCTATACAATTACAAGACTGAATGATTGTTTATCAAAATATTCCACTTAACCCATTTCAGAACAGATTAGATGAGATTGCTACTGAGTTAGCTACTTTTTTAAGTTGGATCCTTAAGTAGGTGGAACTAGATGTAGCCACGTCAGAATTTATATGCTATTTGTGCTGAGATCATGGTGAAAGTAGCATTACCGGAAAAGTTATGCTTTAAACTAACATGCAGTTCGAAATTTACACGACAAGGATACTGCTTTGTACTCAAAATTTCTGCTTATCTCAAAGGTATTTCCTAATCTAGAAATTGTTTTCAGGTTTACTTATTTTCTTTGCAAAGGCCGATATGATACTAACATGGTTGAGTGATGCAGGTTTTAACATATCTCATTTTCCTCATGTGGTTTTGGAGTGTTCCTGTGGCTAGCATATCTCAACAACTTGTCCAACCTTTTGGTAATGCAATTATGATTAATACATAAAGTTTTACTAGATTATGCTGCAAACTCTCACTCATTTGTATTAAACTGTTGGGTTGCTTAAAATAAGAAAATGTGTTTCTTTTTTGGATTCTGATATCTGTGGACTTGCTGATTGAAAATATTTACTTGTACTATTTAGTTACATTTCATATTAGGTATAGGCTATAGTTATATGTATATTTGTTGGCTATGATTATGGATATTAGTTTAACTTTTGGTTTTGATATAGGCGAAAAATGAATTGTAGTTATAAAATATTTATTGAACTCTTGGTTGAATAAAAAAAATACTTGTATTAATTTTTTTAAGGTTTTTCCAATAAAACAAGTTTAGTTGCAAACTCTTTTCCATTTACTACAAAACGCTTCGTAGTGCTAAGATTGTGACATTTATAGGTATAGTAATTGATATAATTGAAGTATTAGGGTTTGTTTGGATTGGATGAACTTCTTCATAAACATTTGTAGGGGAGAACAATAAGAAGAAAAAATGAAATTAGCTTTCTTATAAGTTAAATCTAGCATATACACAAGTTTAAAACAAAAATTTAGAGAAATTGTATCAGTTTCTGCAAATTAGCTTGTGTATAAGCTAACTTTTAGTTTATGGACAAGTTAATTTCAATTTTTCTTCTTATTTTTATTTCTAAAAATGTCTATGAAGAAGTGAGTCAAAATTTTCAAGAGCCTTACTATATTTGGTTGTCATATCTAATTTTTGGACGCATTATTATCTTATAATTTTGGAAATATGAATAAGAAGAAAAGTTACGCATACTGTAAACATTTTTCTAACTGAGTAATTATTCAAGAGAATAGATGTATGTATTTAGGGGTGTATTGGATTGAAATTTTAAAACTATTTTGACAAAATATCTTGTGGATTTTACAAGCCAATGTAGGAGCCTTATGACTTTAGTATTATTTAGAAGTCTTTTTGGATTCTAACTAATTTATATTTTAACAATCTAAAAGATTGAATGAATTTATAAAATTTGAAAGAATTTTATCCATATTTAGAAAGCATTCAAAACTACCAAAGTCAGTGAAAAAAGTAATAATAAAATAATAAGTTTTGGATAAAAAAGTAAACTCAGTACAATTTTTCAATCTTTCTTTAGTTAATGTGTTCTAAATTTTTGTCCTACACTATGCATTGACATTTTTTACATCCATGTTCTTGGATTTGAACAATACGTTCCAGATTATGGTCCTTTATGCATCTATGTTCTTGGATTTGAACCAATTGTTCCAAACTATGATCTTTGTTATCTGAAAATACTATAGATGAAGATGTCTATTTATTATATTAGAAGTCCCACTTCAATTAGTGATAAGGCTAGTTTAGAGTAAAGAACTGGATGCAAACCTCATTTTAGGTTGAGTTAGGTTTAGAATTCACTTCTTAACATGGTATTTAGAGTTTAAAGTTCTTTTGGAAAAATTTTGTCGCTACTGTCATTCTGCTGTCATTGCCAGAGTTTCATTTTGACCAACAACCACACGATTCTGCTTGTCTCGACCAGGTGATCCCAACATCGTCGAGATTGTCACCGTCGAAGTCCAAACATGCTTCCACATGTTAGTTGAAGTTTGCATACATTGTCTTCGGATTATCCATCTTCGGATTATTCATTACTGTCTAGTCTCATGCATGTGATGTATATACCTTGGCGTGAGGGGATGTGTTAAAAGTTTCACATCGATTAGTAATGAGGCCAATTTAGAGTATATAAGTGGGTACAAACCTTATCTTACAAACCGGTTTTATAAGATTGAGTAAAACTTAAAGTTCATTTCTTAATCGGTTATATTATAAATTCATCGTATCAACATTCTTTTGTGAAGAAAAACTATCAAGTTTTGCACATAAACATTTATATTGTCTTGCACAAAAGAGAGAATTCATAATGTGTATAGGAAGAAAGAAAAATCTAGCAACCGGTAGAAAAAGAAAGAGTTGGAAAAGTCCATTAAAGTTTATATACTTTTGAATATCAACGAACTTTTCTAAGTTATAAAAAATATTAACTGAATACTATTGAATTTCGTTGCCATCCGTAAAAAATCTTTGTTAATTCTAATTGAGTGCCATAACTTTTTTCAATCATTTAAAGTCTGAATTGAATGCCATGAGAACACTCTTAATGAAAACCCCTTGTTTTTTTATATAACGATTATTTTAATCTAAATTTGATGCCATTTTAACATAAATTTTAATTTTCGAGAATGTAATTTTATTTAAGTTAAATTTGTTTAAAGTTAAAGCCATTTGCTGCACGGAAAATGTGGCATAGAAGACGCTGCATTTCTCGTTGCCTTTTTATAATAGTTATGATTTGAAAATTATTTTACATATTTTTGCAGGGAGATTATTATCTTGGAGGACTGAAGGTATTGAAAATAACAATATTATGGTAAGCAATTTCTAGTATCTTTCCTTCTTATATTTGAACTTTGAATAAAAAGACATATCCAAAGAAGTCCTATTTAGGTTTTGATTTAAGAGAAAATTTTTGATGCAAGAACTGCTGAAAATTGTGTCTGGGATACACAGTGAAGATCATTTATATAAGTTTATTATATAAATAGTTATAGGAAATTGTATGTGCATATACATGACGTGATATATATATATATATATATATATATATATATATATATATATATATATATGTTTCTAATTAAGTATTCTTATAATTATTAAAATTCTAATTAAATAAGGAAATCAATCACAAAATATAAAAGAAGAATAAATACTGAGAGATGCTCTGAACTATTTTATGATATCATTAGATATTTCTCATATTTCTAAGACTCCTTAAGCCAAAGCTTATTACAAGAAAATATTCATTTCCCAACGAAACAAACAAAATATGACCTTCGTCAATCACTACAAGAAAATCTCTATGAAAACTAATTTTAGTCACAAAAAGTAATTAGTCACTACACTGATCAATTTAGATATCAATTTACAAACTAAAAATTATTAGTTACTAAAATAGTTATTATTACGAATAAAAGTTATAATTGGTTTGTAAGTTCTCTCTAAGATTAGCTATCGAGGTTTTGGTTATCAAAGTAATAAGTTTCTAAATTGATATCTCATTAATTGGTTACCAATTTTTAAACTAATTATTTTGGTAGCTAAAACCTTCGATGGGAAAGAAGCCACCGCCAAATACACGATAAAAGAGTCACCACTGGAATAATCATAGGTTGGAATGAAATCACTACTAATTAGTTACTGAAAATTACCAAAAAAGTCATTATTGGTGAACAATGACTACTAAAAAATCACCAGCGACAACTTGTTGTCGGAAAAGTGTGCAGCGGGGGGTGAACTACTGTGGAAAATGAAATAAGAAAACAAGCCGGAATTAGAAAAGGATGCTAGTGTCTCAGTATCTAATATACACTTCATTCTTAGCTGAAATTTATACGGAATAACAAAAGTGCATAGACCTGGTTCCATTTAGTTCATATTTGGATTAAAGTTTGCAGACATAAATTTGAATCAAAAGAATGTCTTGAAATGAGTTTACTGCAGTGCAATTATTGTTTTAATATTTTTGGTTCAAAGTATGTTGATAAAATGAAATTTATTGTATAATATGAATAAAGCATTTTACTAAACTTTGTTGTTTGAATAAGTACTGACAATGGAAAATAATTTTCATAAGCAACCATTTTGTTGCTTCTTATTCTAACTTTGTTTTGGGTGAACCGATGATGGAAATGTGACTTTGAGAGGCAACAAGCATAATGGAAAATAGAGTTTAGCAGTCCAAAAGTATGTTGGAGGAACCCATACGGTTATCCAAACATACCCTTGATGTATTCCAACTCGAGACTGTTGTATTCAATAAATTTTCACTAGTAGAGTATGCTAGAAGGATTATGTTTAGAAAATGTGAACTCCTCAAAAGAACTCAATCTCCCGATATTGAAATGTAATCATGAGTTGGTGTTTTCACTTGAGTTGGTGTTTTCACTTGAGTATTTAAACAACTTGTGGATGAAATGTGCCTATCCAAAGCACTGGAAGTGAGTTTAGCTTGTAATCAGACTACAGTAAGTTTAGCTCCTCCACCCCTTAGTTATACTTTTCAGTAAATAGTCAGATTAGTACAATAAATATTTACATATTGACATATTTAACTTTTAATACTAGACAAAAAATTATAGTCTTAGTATAGAAATTTTAATTTCATTAATTTTGTTTGAATTATGTTAATGATTAAGATAATTGAAAATGTATTTGGTCTTTAGTATTTGTCACGTGTTTATTAAAATGAAAATTATTGTTAAGATGCAATTAACTTTGAAGTAGCATTAAGGATTTATAATTTACAAAGTTAAAAGCAAAGTCTTCTTCGATGTTAATTACATATTAATATTAATTTTTTTATTTAATAAAATCAGGTGGCAATTACTAGAGACTAAACATTTGTTCAATTAGCTTAACCATTAACTGAACTAAAACAAAATTAAAGTTTTTTTACCAAGATTATAAGCTTTTTCTTCTTGTCCTAAAGATGAACTATGTACTGTTTACTTTTCATCTTTACGGAAGTTGGAAAATTTTTCGTACTATTATGCATCATACTATATACATTGCAATCCACTGTTTTTTACCTATTAAATAATGTAGTGCAGATAAAAGAAGACATTCATGTGAAGCTTTTAATAGTTTGAGTGGCGTTCCAACTGTTTTATGCTATTTCAGGTTGGGATAATACCTTGGTTGATAGTGTCTACAAGGGTTAGCAGATTCATTTGTAGACTCACCTATGGCAAATAGATCGTTATGTTCTTCATCTAGAATGACATAACATTGCTAGCTGCTTGGACTGGTTTGTGTCCTGCATTTAAAATGGAATGAACAATGCTTTTCTAGATTTGTACAACTTGAAATTTGTTCCTTCGAACCTTGTCCGGTTCATAACCAGTTTATTTTAGTACAGACGACGTGTAAACTTCATTCTGCATATGCAAGCAAAATTTTCATATGCCTGTAATATGATAGAGTTGCAGCCCCCACACTACCCCTAGTTTGGTCTCTTTTAAGGAATTTTGTCTTCAAATTCTTCTGGATTAATTATATTCATTTGTTCAATAGTATTTAGTGTTGAATTAATGGGTTTGTAAATTTGAAGAACTGTTATTTGCAGTTTGGATTAGAGCTTTTTGTGATCTGCTTCCATTGCAACTGAAAGATGAAAGTTTGGTGCAATTTTCAGTTGACTAATAAGTCCATTGCAATTTTCGTTTTTAAATTTTATTCGCTTTTAGTTGTTAACAGATGTAGAATTATGTACTTTTATGCCCATAAACATTAATGAGAAATTAAAAGTACACTATACTTTGAGTTCCATAAGTTCCTAAGCATGATGAGGTATATCAAATTGTTTATAAGGAATAATAAGTAAATGCTGGACAACCTATTGAAGAATTAAGTTAAATAGTTTCACAACTCATAAGCAATTGAATTTGTGGTATGATGGTATAAAGGATGAGATGGGCTTTGTGGCATCTGATTAAGTCTTGAATCTTATTGAGTTTCACAATTAGGGATGACAACGGGTCGGGCACGGATAATGTCTATCCGCAATCCGATCCGACAAAAAAAAAATCCACTTGCTACCCGATCCACTACCTTATGGATACCCGCTTAAAAAATATCCGCAAATATTTTAAAATCCGCGGATACCCGTGGATATTCGCGGATTCCTGCAAATATTAAAAAAATATTTTTTAATAAATTATTAAAATAAAATTACAAAAAATATATAAAATATAATATAAATTTAAATTTAAATTCAATTTTAATTAAATTTAATCTTGTAAAATATAAATTAATGTTAATTTTAATTAAATTTAACTTAATAAAATATAAATTAAATTTTTATTTTTATTTTTTGCGGGTAGCAGGTATCCGTGGATACGAATAGTATAGTACCCGCATCCGACCCGTTTATAAGTGGATATTAAAATATCTGCTACCCACGGGTTGTGGGTAGTAAATATCTGTGGGTATCAACTATCTGTCGCGAATTTTATCCACGGATATCCGCAGGTGCAGATTTTTTTGTCATTCCTGTTCACAATGGTGCACAATTCATTGAATGTAATTAATAAATATTTACAAGATAAGGTTGAAAGACATTGTTGTTAATGAAAGATTCTATTTAAGTAATTATGACATTAATAATTCATTATAATTTTGTTATATTACATGGAAGTGAAAAGAACATCCGTATTGCTGATTTAGAATAAGAGGTTTGTATAAACCATGTTGAAGGATACTTTTCTAGTAATGATGAATATTTATTTTGGAGGATTATTAAATTCATATATGGATTAAATTTTTTTTTTACAACAATAGTATTTAAAATTTTCAAGGAAATATTATTTCATTTAGTTTTGAAAGAAACATAAAAGTTAGTGGGAGTAAATCTTGTTTTTTTTTGTCTAAGGTGTGGGTAATATTTTCCTTGTAGCAAATAATAAATGTGTGTTATATGAGGTGAAATAATTTGTCTCAAATAACTTTGGTATAAAAAATATGAAAAATGTATCTTATGTTATATATACTAAAATCCTTCCATAAATATCTCAAGATATTTTTGATTTATCTCAATAGATTTATATTGACAAAATTTTTGAGAGCTATAAACGTTAAATATTATTCATCCAACATGAGTCTAATTTTGGAAAACGATAAATTTGAATTAAGTTAGTGTAAAAAAACATGATCTTAAGTGAGAGCACATGAAAACTAGTGCTTAATTTGTTAAAAGTCTTATGTATACTTAAGTTTGAATCATATCTAACATCTTCGTGTGCAATTAGAGTTTTGGAAGATAATAAAGTAATTTAGGTGGTTATAATTGAAAAGTTGAAAAAAAAGATGATAATGAGATATTTTAAGGAATGAATAATTTTATGCTCATATAGAAACAACTGGTAATTTAGAGGTGATAGATTATTCTAGTTTAAAACTTTATTGGTTACATCAATATCATGAAATATACATTTAGTTATATTTTTATGCTAACTTGCGGATTTGTATATTTTAGCAGTAAAAAGGAAATCTTAATTGCTAGTTGAGTTTGTATTTTATTTTGAGGCTACCGAACATGTGTATGATTAAAAAGTTTTGTATATGATTTTAAAGATGTACACTCAATTGTCAGACCATTTAAGTTAAATTTAAACACTTTGTTGCAATATTTATGATAAACAGAAGTGAATAAATTGATATTAAATATCTAGTTTAAGAGACATGTTAAAAAAAATAAAGTGGTGATTAAACCAGAAAATCATGCTTTCACTAATAAAATAGTTTATTCTTTCGGAAATTTAGCTATTACTGGTTAACCAAAATATAATTTATTTATACACATTTCCTATATATTACCCTTTCATCGAACGGTCAGGATCCACATAGGAGAACAAATTTGTCATTGAAGTCGAATTCGGCAATATATAATATATTGTGTAGCAGCACAGGGTTAAAAAAACTTGAATAAATTAGACACAAGGTAAAGGGGGAAAAACACTAAAAGCGAAAACCTTGAACGGGGTGCGCAGTGTGTTGGGGGAAGAAGTAGAAGCGTGTAACCCTAGTTAGGGTTTGCAGTTCAATTTGGGATTCCTCTCTCGTGCGATTGTAGCGCTGGATCCGTATCGTCTTCCTCCGTCCACAGAAGCGCCTTTCGCTCGATCTTTCGGCGATCTTGGTAACATGTACGGTCCTCGAGGGTATGTCAACCTAACTTCATCTTTTTTATTCTGCGTGCCATTTCCTTCCAATTTCTTTGTTCTTTTGTAATTGCTGGGGTTTTATTTCTGTGTGGTGTTGCTTATGATTAGAAATCGTGTTTGCATTTAATTTTCTTTGATTTTATTGTTTATATAGCTATGTGCTTTGGTTATAGGGTGATTGAGGTTGTTTGTTGCATGTAATTGTATTGACTTCTTATGTGTGGGCTTTGCTGGGTTAGCTTCGCCAAACAACATATCTATCAGGTCTCAGGCCACGTATTTGCTTTCTTTTCTCTCAAATTTTTGTGTTTTTATTTTTAATAATTTAATATCCTATAATATGCCTGATATGATATGGAGTCTCTGTGAGCATGTCTAATTTTCTTTCAACCTGATCAGGATCAATAATGTGTTGTTGCAATCAATCACATTGTGCTTATTTTGTGTTTACATGATTTTTTAAATTAATTAGCCTTTTAAGCCGTGTTACTGTAACATTTGGTATATTACTTCACTATTAAGTATTAATCTTGCAGACCTTATGATTGTAATTTGTGCAAACTTATCTATCTTTGATTTTTCTTTTATATATGTCCTGCATAATGAGTGTGTTGGATAGAAATATATTTCTATGGTCTTTGTGTGGTTCTCTCTATTTCCATAGGTGGTCTGATTGATCTGTTGTTATTTTTTTTTTCTATGATGTTTGGCTGTGGGTGTTGTGATGAATATTATGAGTAATAGGAATTAAAATTAAGTGTCAGGGAAAAGAGGGTTGGGTTTGGCTTTATTAACATGTTGAGTGGGGGATTGTTTTTTTTTGGGTATGGAAATTTGAAGGGCAATGTTGGGAAGCGGGGGGGTTTCGGACGGGTACGAGGTTGGCTCAAAGAGACAAAGAATGATGGAATCAAATCCATACTTCGCAGTGAGCAGCGGGACAGGCAACTTACCTTATGGATATGCAGGTGGCTTTCAGCCCCCTCCCTTTCCTGTGGTTCGTCTCAGGGGGCTTCCATTCAACTGTACTGACATTGACATCTTGAAGTTTTTTGCTGGACTGACCATTGTCGATGTGTTGCTGGTCAATAAGAGTGGACGCTTCTCAGGAGAGGCCTTCGTGGTATTTGCAGGAGCAATGCAGGTTGAGTTTGCTTTACAGAGAGATCGCCAGAACATGGGTCGCCGGTATGTAGAAGTGTTCAGGTGTAAGAAACAGGATTATTATAATGCTGTTGCTGCTGAGATCAATTACGAAGGAATATATGATAACGATTACCATGGTAGTAGTCCTCCACCCTCCCGATCAAAGAGGTTCAGTGATAAAGATCAAATGGAGTACACTGAGATATTGAAGATGCGTGGCCTTCCCTTCCAAGTGACAAAATCTCAAATTGTTGAATTCTTTAAAGATTTCAACCTGATAGAAGACAGGGTACACATTGCATGTCGCCCTGATGGGAAAGCTACTGGAGAGGCATATGTGGAGTTTGTTTCAGCTGAGGAGGCCAAGAGGGCAATGTCCAAGGATAAAATGACCATAGGATCAAGGTATGTGGAGCTGTTCCCTTCTACTCCAGACGAAGCTAGACGGGCAGAGTCAAGATCAAGGCAGTGATCGTGGTATTTTATCTTGTTTTAGGACTTCTAACCTGTTCCTTCTTATGCTACTATAATGTTTTAAATTTTAGATGTACTTTATTATTAGTAGTTAAACCTGTTATATTTGCCTGTCTTAAATGGATGCATTAATTGATTAATAGAAAGGGCCTTGGAATAATATATGGCTCTGGGATGTGAAGGTAATTAATACTGGGTTGGGCTTGAATGAAAAAGTGTCATTTCCAAAGTTCAATAAATTCGTATAGTTATTACATCAGGGGCAGTTTCTTCCTGCACGTCCATGAATTTTCTCCTCACCCAAAAATAAAATAAAAAATTGTTTTTCCGCCTTTGGGATTGTGCAATCTTAAAGTCAAAAGGCACTTTTGTGCAATGTGGAAGCTATTTTTTTCTTAGACTTTAAATATTTTTGGTTTAATCATTTTGGACATCATTGTGTATAATTGTCTTGCCATTAATTGGAGTAGATGGTTGCCATTAATTGTAGTAGATGGTGTTTTTGGTGATTGAGCAAATTGTATTGATATGGCATATTGGTGATATAAGGTGGATTATTTTTATTTACAATTTTAAAAAACTTTAATTTAATCAAAACACAAATTAGGGAAATATGATTAAAAGGAATATAAAATTTATTTTAATTTTTATTATTTTTATTTTACTAATGTTTTGGTATCTTTGTAAGTTTATACCGTGTCCACATCCTAAGCTGATCTTAGGTGGAAACCATC